CTTCGTCTCAGGGATAAAGAGTAAATACACTCCTTATCCCTGAGCCAGAGTAGGCGTGGCATTTGAACATGGCACGGAACTGGTTACTCGTGGAATATTCCAGTCTGGGACAACTGTCATCTTGTTCTGTGTTGGACAGAGACACGACAACAATTGTGTAGACACCTTCAGGTTAAGTTGCAAAATGCAGCCCCGCGTACCCGATCTCAGGGATCTCGTGTATAGCACATATGAAACAGGAAAATCACGAAAAGTCAACCACCACTCCCATCATTCCTAGAAAGGCCAGAAAGTAAATACGACCCCCCCCCCTCCCAACAATGAGCAAGTACGACCCCCCCTCCCAACAATGAGCAAGTACGACCCCCCCCCCCTTTACAACGTCCGTGAAGCGAGAAAAATCAACTATCAAAATAAATTTTTCTCAGCCCAAATACGACCCCCCCCCTCTCCTGGCGGCCAAATACGACCCCCTGTTGGGGATTCCCCAACAACGATGTGCCTTGGTTCGCATCGCTCACCATGTTTGCCTAATGTGAGAAGTATCGAGCCCAAGTGCACCGCCCCAAAGCAGCCGTCTCTTTCGCTGCTGTAGACCCCTTTAGCCAACAGCCGCCACTCGCTGTTTGGCTGAAATCCGAAAGTAAACGGAAAGGCAACAGCATCTCTACCAGCAATATCGCTTCAGTAGGAGATAACAAAACCACAACATCATATTTCAATATCACCGCATACTCCCCTCAATACTCTTCACTTCTGAAGGCATACCATCCACGCCCTAGTTACCTTTTAGTGCGTGGCCAGCTCGTGAAATCTAGAGCTGATAATCGAGCGAATCACCTCAAGCTGGTGAAGTGCTTGTCTCTGCTAAAGAGTGCGAATTGTTCAAATCAGACAAAACATACAATTCAACGCAGCTGCCGACTTGTGGATTGATTGGCCGCTGAGCACTCTCGGCCGTGTACAGTGGTTCTGGCAAGCTGTCTTCCCAGAAACTATCGCGAACCAATGCGGGGTAAGTGTCGTACGCCTCATCGACGACGTTGAGTCCAACCTAAAAAAAGACCTTCGCAGCCAGGTACCCTTAAGAAAAATACGGATTGATCAGTCTATGCATTTCTTCAAAAATAGGAAAATACAAGGTGGTGTGCCCTATCACATCAGTCGCCCTTGTGGAAGCCACTCATCAGTTCACATCCATTCCTTTTGCAGCTTTATATTAGGTTGTCCGGAAAGTTCTCAGCGTTTTGTGCACCTATTTTTGTACATTCACTGCTGATTAAAAACTCATTCTGCCTTGCTTCTCAGTAGCACAGGTCGTCCTTGTACGTGAGAGTGTTCTTGCGCTAGGTCTGGATGGTATAATTGCCGTTTCACCATTGCTTGATAAACCCCCTTTTTTCAAGCATGTGAAAAGAGCACTTTGGACGATTTTTTTCTTCGACTATAAATTGGGGCAATCCGCAATCGAAACAGCTCAACAAATTAACCAGGTGTGGGGGCCCAATAGTGCTAGAGAAAGCACTGTGCGGCAATGGCTCAACAAATTTCGTTCTGGAGATTTCAGCCTTGAAGGTGAACCTCATAGCGGTCGACCTAAAGCAATATCTGACGAGGATTTTAGGGGGATTTTGGAGGCTGACCCATCCCAAACAGTTCGAGAGATAGCAGAAGAGCTAGGCGTTGGCAAATCCACTGTTGCAGATGGTCTGGAACGCATTGGGAAGGTGAAAAAAACTCGCGACACATTGGGGCCACCACAATTCGGGAGTGACCGCAGGAAATTGCAGCTCACCCCCGGCCACGCCTCGAGGTTCTTCTGCATTGCTTTTGCGCAGCAGAAACGACCTGTTTTTGGGCCGAATTGTCACCTGTGATGAAAAATGGGTCATGTATGATAACAGGAGACGTTCCGGACAGTGGTTGGATTTCGACGAACCACCGAGGTAATTTTCAAAGCGAACCCTCACGAAAAAAAAGATTCTGGTCATAATGTGGTGGTCATCGGCTTTTGTGATCCACTATAACTTTTTATCACCAGGCCAAACCATCACAGCAGAACCCTACTGTGAAGAAATCGACGAATTGTACCGAAAATTTTGTCAGATGCAGCCAACACTTATCAAAAGAAAGGGTCCGATTCCTTTGCATGACAACGCCCGCCCACACGTTTCACAAATCACTATCCATAAATTGAACGAATTGGGGTTGAAGTTCTACCTCAATCCGTCCATCCCGCGCCTATCTTCAGACCTTTCGCCAACCGACTATCACCTTTTCTAACATTTTCAGAACTCCCTTGCTGGAAAATACTTCATCAATCAGGACCAGGCAAAAAAGCCTTCGTGGATTTCGTGAATTTTCGACCACCCAGTTTTTTTTGATGGGATTTCTCGACTGCTGTCACATTGGCAAAAGTGTGCTGATTCGAATGGTGCCTATTTCGATTAAATCCGATGAGTATTAAAAAAGTTACGATCGTTTAAAGTGAAACACCCAAAACGCTGAGAACTTTCCGGACAACCTAATACTATTCTTCACTTTTAAAGACCTTCATTTACTCTTGATCTGCTTCTACCCAGTGCACATAATCCTTGTGGAATAGTCATCGAAGGGTCGAACATGTGAAGCAATGTGGAAGGGGTGGGAATGCTAGCTTAAAGACACATGGTACGCTCATACACATTGAGGGTGTATGAGACTATCAGCCCCCAGATGTCGATGTGTCGTGGTCCCCCGCCCAAACATGCCCAGGAATGGAGATACAGGGCCGTGAAACACGCTAATTCTTCCATGCTCCGCCCACTGCCTTTTTACGGCGCAGATTCCCGCCGTTCATAACATCCGTCGTAAGCGCGCCTGTCGCGTGCGGCTCCTTGGCACTTTGCCAAGTCCTTTAATTGCGCTCTCAAATACGAAGAAACGCGATTTCCTGATGCGGATAACATTGCGGTGCTACAAAATAAGAAGCAGAACACACACACAGTGGCAACACTAACGAGCAACTCGGCTGCATCTGCAGTATCCATCAAGGGCCGCGCATTCCACAAAACATGAAAATAAAAACAGCCCAAGCGTCCCACTCGTTTGTTCTAAGTATTTCTATGGCTTTGGCGCCGGATCGTAGAAATTTACAGGCCAGTTTATCTAATTTGCCTTTCCTTGATTTTTTCATTTTTGTTTTGTTTACATTTACATCGTTGTGCTTCATTTCTAGCCTGTGTCATCTTCATCTCCTTGTACATGGATTTTGAAGCATGAGCAACACCTCAAATTTTATTCGCATCAGGAAATTGCGTTTTGCTTGTATCAAACTAACGAGTATGCCGTTTTTATTTTCATGTTTCGTGGACATACGCGGCCTCCGAGGGATGTTGCAGAAGTGGCACAGTTGCTTTTGAGTTCTGACCCTCGTCATCATCTTCTGTTCTTACTTTGCAGCACCTCCAGTGTTATCCGCATCAGGAAATTGCGTTTTACTTGTATTTGAGAGCGCAATTAAAGGACTTGGCAAAGTGCCAAGGAGCCGCACGCGACAGGCGCGCTTACGACGGATGTTATGAACGGCGGGAATCTGCGCCGTAAAAAGGCAGTGGGCGGAGCATGGAAGAATTAGCGTGTTTCACGGCCCTGTATCTCCATTCCTGGGCATGTTTGGGCGGGGGGACCACGACACATCGACATCTGGGGGGCTGATAGTCTCATTTATATACACGCCTCATTCTGTATGAGCGTACATATGTGTCCTTTAAAGGTGATTCAAGCCCTTAAACAATGCGACGGATTTATAGGCCGTTTTTGCTGCAGGACGCTGGGCGTCGCCTACAGGAAACTGGGTTTGGATTAAGGGTCAGCCGTGATTCAACTCGGTTTGCGTCGCTTGCTCCCCGCTTCGCAGTAGGTGGGGGACGTGCAGCGCCGCTTCAAACATCAACCCCGTGACAGGATCCAGCGTTTCCAGCGATGCCCATTGTGCCGCCCGCCCACAAATGTCCGACCGATGCTGATGCTCGTATCGCTTCATTTGCGAAGTACAATATGAAGCCACGTGGTTGATAAGAAGTGGCTGCGGCGCTGCATGGACGAATGGATGGACGACACATGCAACTGCATCTACGTAGCGGTTATTGGCACGATGACAACGTGTAACTCGTCCGAAATTTGCTTTCTCAGTCGTGTAGAACAAACGTTTTTTGTAGGTTTTTGATAGTTTCACTTCGCTTTTTCGTCATTTTCCCTCTATATAGCATCCCACTACTATTTCAGGACGAGTACAGAATTATCGTGTCTTATGCTCGAGAGGATCAGCAGCAGATATTGAGAACGGATTGGTGACCAACATCCAAGGGTACATCGGATGGTACACTTACATTTCATTTCGTCGTTTTGACTTACCATCTTCCCTTTGTAAAGGCTTATTAAGCTTCTCAATTCAAATGTAAGACACATAATCACGTTGTTCCCCCTCACCTGCAAATTACGGTCTAGAATGTAATTGCATTCGAAATCATCGTCGTCTTCACCAAGGGGATTGAGCAGCACTTCAGCAACCTATAAGGCAGTAGAGGTTGATGATTACAAATACAATTTACAATTACAATGTTATCTCAGGGGTCACTTATGTCACTTCAGAAATAACGGCTAACCTTCATCCAGCCCACGAAGAAGATAAACTGGAGTATAGACATGATTGGCACGTAGAGATCGATCTGGAAAAGAAGTTCTCAAATCACCTGAACATTGCATTAGTCTCATTTTACTCGCCCTACAGGCTTTCCTATACTCTCATTAGGACTGCTCTTCTTTGGAAAAGTATTCTGTAGAGCACAAAGTTTGCGCCGACCAGGGATTTGATCTGACCCCCGGACCGCGCGCGTGCTAGTCGTACCACTCGGTACTACACCACCTCCGCCTCACTTCCTGTGCAAAACCACGTACGCTTGAGAGGTTGGCGTCAGAATAGAATGCGCTCTTCATTCACGCGGCGGTAGATGGTAGAATTTCCCAGAATCTCTCAAAATACCCTAAAAGCTTCCGTTATTTCATGATCTAG